CCCGAAACGTCAGCCTTCCTGCTCCTCTGATGCTGCTTGGCCTGCTGTGTTCATCCAGCTCTACACCTTGTCATCTCACAATGTTCCTCTTCAGGTTGACTCTGGGGTATTTACTTTGGCCTTTCTCTCTGGCCTCTCTTTCTCTCTGGCCTGTGACAGCTTCCAGATCCCATCTTCTCTGAGTTTGTGGATCTGTATGTCAACTCACAGTCATTAGCCAGAATTTCTGCAAGTCTAGGCCCAGCTATCCTCTGTTCCTCCAAATGAGTCAGAATCAGAAAGGGTATGATGTCTTTGAACTCATTAAGCAGAATTGCTTCATAATAAAATCATAAAAAGCTTTAGTTTTAAACACCCGTACCCACTATTCAAAACCAAACTATTTAAGATATGTTGTAGGTATGTCTGGTCTGGCCATTTCTTGAGGGTATGAATTATTTTGCCGCTGGCACTCGCTGTACACAATGAAAATAGCTCCTTTTGCGACCTCATAGTTAGTGGTCTCCAGGTAAATGGGAGTAAATTTTGTGAGCCTTCCCTATCAGCCTGCTCTATAACAGCGGTATCCAACAATGGGACTGGCCACTTTATCTGTTGGGCTAATCTTTCAAAAGAGATAAAGAATGTGTCCACCTCTTCTCATCAAATGTTGTGATCAAACAGGCGTACTTCAGCTGTTTCAATTTTAATTGTCTTTCTGTTTCATTCTCTGTCACCTGGGATTCTCTATTTTTATCTCTGCTGATTCTGTCTTTTTCTTTCCTTTGCTGAAATTCAAGTTTTAATCTTAGTTCCAATTTAATTCTGTTTTATTCTCAGTTTCTAGCTCTAGATATTTTGCCACATTTGCAATTCCTGTTTTCCTGGGTTTTGGACAGAATTACACCTCAAAATGCTTAGCTATTGTCTTAATTCTTCAAAAGACAAGGCTTTTAGTTTTTAATAAGTTTTTCTATGAAACAGTTAACAGCGAACATGAGTACCTTACCACTTTTAATCTTAGATTCAGCAAATGATTTTGAAGAAACAACTTGTTTACCCATTCTTGTTCTTTGGTTAGACATGCAGTTTGAATCACGTGCTATGCCCCCAAATTGGTGCAATCAGGTGAGGAGGACTGACAGTTTGCCTGTTTTTTAACGCCCTCTCTGTGGGTCAGAGCAAATATTTTATTTTTTTTCGTTTTTTAGCAATTACCTAGCACATTTTAATTGATCACAGAGTCAGTACCCTGTTTTTCTAAAGTGAAAAGAAGTGAAAAAAATTGATAAAATATAACAGTAAACCCACAGATAAAGGTAACAAGCTTTCAAAGAAAGTTCAAAGTTGGCAGGAAGGATATTGGGTACAAACAGGAAGGTAAAGGCAGCTGCAGTTACAGTTTTTTTCAAGTCTTTGAACTGCAAAAATGTAGAGACCCGAGCCAAATTGTTGAGCTGCTGTTTAGTTTACTCGGTGCTGTTGAATCTGTAGATGTCCTGGAATTCCTAGTGAATTGTTATTGTTCTTCCAATTGCCTTTCATGAGCCAGGTCCTGAGGTTGGGGTTGTGTATTAGAGAGTCAGGGAGAGAAAACAGGCAGAGAGAGTGTCTTCCAGTTCTTGTGCGCAAACCCAGTTTTTGTTGTGTCACCTCTGCTGCTCAGAAATAGCTGTTGATAAAAATTTGTTTGGATATTGCTGAATATTTCTGTTTGTTATTTTCTACGCTGAACGTAGAATGTTCAATCTTAATGCGTAACTGTCAAGAAAGGTTTGAATAAACTGGAGATACAAATCTGAGTTTTACTTACGTTAATTTTGGCTCAGACTGATCCTCTTTTACTGATGGGTTCATGAGCTTGCTTGTTGTGTCAGCTGATTACAACACCCATTTTATGTCAGTATTTCTCTGTTTTAAACAGATTTTTTTAGACACGAAAGTCAAATGATGACAGATGAATATTATTAGTTTGTTTTCACTCTGATCAGAATAACGTGAAGATAAACTTTTTCACGAAGTAAATGAATAAGATTTGGAATGTGCTACAGGAGACAGCAGAGGATGCAGTTTCAACCGACGCAGTCAAGAACGAATTGAATTAACATCAGTAAAGGAAGAATCTGTATGGCTACAGGTGGATGTCCAGCGAGAAGCACTGATTGAATTGTTCATTCAAAGACGCATTGGGCTGAATGGTCTCCTGCACTGTAACTGTCCT